TCAAGGCATAAAATTGTTTTGAAGTGGTGGGTGTGTGTCATACATTTGATTGCAGTGAATTTCAAGAACAGATTTTTAGTGGGACCTGTGCTCTTAAGTTATTTTGAAAAGTCTTGCTAAGTATGTATTAAACATAAAAGGTTGAGGTGAAATAATGTGACCAATTACAATGCCTTTATAGGATATAATAATGTATTTTCCAGGAGGCTTTGAGAGAAATTCAGGCAAATTAAAATAATTGGCAAAGGTCATATTGAATAACTGAGGCCAGAATTTGACCTCTGCATTTAGAAAGCAGGAAGAATAACAATTTAATGTTTTGTCCGAATTCTTTTTAAATTAAGACAATTTGAATATATTGGACTAATAACTGTATCTGTTCCTTTATAAGCATTTTTTTTTTCTAACAGAATTTTTTACTTCAGTTGAATTTTAGGAGTTAGTGGATGCTCTCCTAAATAAGTAGGACTTTTTCATACTGATTTTCAAAACTGAAATTAAAACATTTTACATGGAATCAGAAATTCCATGCCTACTACTTAAAAATCAAATGGTTTTAGAAGTCAATTTTTTTCCTTGAAATATGTCAGATTGTGTAAACAGTCTCTCTGAAATATGTAGAGGCTTGTTGAAGGCTGTAAACTTGCATTCCCCTGTTGTGCAAGAGCACTTTGGGCCCGTGCCAACCCTTATATGCCCAAGTACTATGGAGTAAATCTGATTAATTTAAAATGTTGGTCTTATATCATGATTTTAAATACTGTGATAGACTTGTTCTGATAGGCTTGTACAATGGACATCTGCTAATTAGTCTTAAAAAGAACTAGATGTTGTGTATTTAATACTCTTAATTGTGTTTCTTTACAATGTGGCTGTGCAGGTGCAAAAAATCTGGCACAGCAATATCTACAGCAGATGTGGCAGTATCATATTCGGGAGGAGGTGAACTCTTGTTTCTCCTGTAGTTTAGCTTTTAGCAGCAGGAGTGAACAAGAATCTGTGTAAGGTAGGCTCTTTGATGAGCTGATCACTTGAGTTGAGTGTTCTTCAAGCTCAAAAGGGAAGATGAGTTAGAAATACGCCCATAGAGTATATATTTTTTTTATATTAGGATATAAATCTTCCAAACACTATGATTTTTCAAAGTGTAATGCCATCTACTGAAGAATGTAATCTCATTTGCTCACATTACAGTTATTAAGTTAGCGCTATCAAGCAGGCAGTTTCATGTTCTGTAACTTCGTGAAAGTTTGCTTTGAATTGGATTTAAAGGGCACAACTGAATATATTGCCCCTTAAATTAAACTGATTCCAGAGATAAATCAAAACCCTATAAACTGATGAACTTTATTAGTTGTATTTTAAACAAAACTGGCTTGAAACCTAGTTATAGATCGTTGTAAGCGAAGACTTCAGTCCTACAAAAGACTCGCTGCATACCTTGGTGTATCCAAAAGAACAGCTGGTAAAGTAGTAGTATCTTCTATCAAACCACCTTTTTTTTTTTTTTTTTTTAAAGACACTGTTTCCCTCTAAATCATCTTATTAAGATATTACCTTAAGCTTGTTTTCTGTGACTGCTTATATGTAAAATGTGAGGATTTGTGAATGTGGGTTTTTTTGAGGACAAAATACTTAGCGTATGGCAGGAATATCAATGTGGTTCTGTGAGTAAATCTACCTGTCCGACTGTGACCATAGGGAAAGTCATAAAAACATTAGCTTTATTACGTTTTGAATGAGAACTGTGGTGCCACAGTCAAGTGTTTGCCAGGCTCTTAGCAAGATCAAGGCTCTTGTCTCTTTACAATCTACATTGTAAAGTAAAATTGCATTTTCTTGGTTGTTTTCGAATACATTATTCTGATGATAACGTTGTACTCCACCTTCTGGATTACGATTTTATTTCCACGCTATTAAAAAATAAAAGTCTTAAAAGCTTTTATTCTTTGCAATTTGCTCTTTTCAATATTCTTGCAAATATTGTCAGTAAATCTGTAAATTAAATAATGTCAACTGAATCATCTTCATTTTGCTAGGTCTGCAGCATTTCTGTTGCTACTGTGGTCACTGACATTGAGAGACTGACTCCAGCAAGTTCTGTAACCAACACATCACCTGACCCAGACCGGCATCTGTAAAATGTGTGCCTCAATAATCTAACAGTCCTCTGCATAGTAACATATGCATATGTATAGGATTTACCTATGACTTTAGGTAGGGCTGGTAAGGTAAAAAATACATTGCAAGATGACCTTACAATGTGGGGGTGGACTTCCAACCCAAACCATTCTATGATGGTACTCTAAAAACTGTAAGCAGCTTATTCAGTGTGGTGGTGTACAAATTTTATTAGTTTGCTAGGACGATTACTTTTTCCATGATAAACTATTACAATGTGAAATTCTGTGCATGATGCTGTTACAGTCAGAGCCACCTGGGTGTGAATCTTTGTGAAACTGTTCAGTCAGATAATGTGTAAGTAGAGTTTCCCTTATGGATTTGACTGGTGTCTTGGGTCTGTTTTTTGTGCCTCTGAAGTATTTTACTCACACAGTGTAATGACTTTGTTAAAAATCTACAAACACACCCCCTTACCTCCAGAAAAATAATAGTAAGAGAGTTATGTTTGTACACGTACACACAGAGTAGCTCAGATTTAAGAGTACTTCCACCTTTATTCGATTGTCATTCTTGGATGGTGTGTGACAATACAACACTGCTTCACTCTCCGACTTCCTCACTGAGGCAAGAGGGAATCCGCGTGACTCTCTGGAAGGTGTACAAGTTTCAAAGCAATAGGGGTGTGCTCAAACTGAAAGCAATTGCTGAGTTTTAAAACCCCAGAAGGGGTGCTTGTAACAGCTGTTTTGGATCCTCCCTGAGGGAAAAAAAATGATTAAGTGGAGATTTGGAAAGTCTTATGACTTAAGTTTTATTCTGAACTAAGTATAATAGCAATAGCGTTAATAAATATGCATACTTGCAACTATTCTGTATGGCTTGGGTGCACCGGCTGAGATTTATATTTATGGCCAAGCCTGGGGGCTCATTCAGGAGAGTGTAGCCTCTGACCTGCCAGTCACAGCCAACATTTCTCCGTCTGCTGCTTGGGCTGCTGAAGATGCAGTGCTGCTCTCTGCACGGGTGCCCAGTGTATGGGCAATATTGCAATAAGCATTTTCAGTGAAACTAATGAACTTTGTCTCCAAGCTTTGTCTGGGATGAGCAGTTATCACAGAGCTGATTATGCCATAAACCAAAAGTCTCTCCTAGGTAGTGGTCCTGTGATGGGTACTCCGAAATAGCAATGCAGGACTGGAAGGCTGCGGGTCTAGAATCTATTTGTATGTTTTGGTGTAATGAAATTTCACAGCTGTTCAGGGCAGGCCAATTTTGGAACGGTCTGAAAGCTATTGCTTCGTCTTATCAGGCAGTCACAGCATGGGAACCAAAGACTGATTGGTATCAAAAATATCCTTGCCAGCAGGTTGGGGTAGGACATTGTATCTATCTCGTGGAGGGTTTAATACACTCTACTTCCCAGCATTTTGTACTAATGTGAATCTTTCACTTTACAAAGAAAAGGAAAGGAGTGCCTGAAAATGGAGCTCAAAAACTCTTTATGCTGTTTGCATGTATTTTTTCCTCAGACCTATTCAGACTGAAGTTTTCTAGGTGAATTAGTTCACTATTAAATGTAATGGCACTGTATGCAACCACACAAGCTCTTGGAACTTTTACTTTCATCTATATTCCAGAAATACGCCACTTCACAATGCACCGAAGTGGTAGCTGGAGCAAAAGGTTATGATCTCAGTGTGTTACGAGTACCTTTTATGCTGCCAAATATCATGATGTATGGAAAGCACAGTAAGTTAGAGTTCGGCTGCCATGGACTGCAAGGCAATGTGCATTCAAAACAGTTCATCAGTCTGAGAAAATACTTAGCACTTTGCTGCAGAAAAGCATAGCTCCATGGCTGTTTTCCTTGTGGGCCTGGTGGAAAAGGACTGGTAGATAATCCTTCACCTTCCATTTTGCTGATCCAAGTGCAGGGGAAGTTGGCCAGGATGTCTCAGTTGCTGCAGTCCATAAAGGAGAGCCCAGGAGGAGACACGTTTTCTCTCTTCTTTTGTCTGCTCTGGAAAGCAAATACATATGCTAAAGATATGGGGAGGAAAGGAGTTGATAATTAGTATCAACATCAGTTTGATGTGGCAAAGTTATTTCTGCATCTACTTACAGGTTTTCATGGTCCATGACATCACTCTGGTACTTGAGAGCAGGAAGATTGAAACCCCACTGTTTATTTGGTTATTAAAGCTGGTAATGTTACACATATTTCCACAGGTTACTTTCAGATTAATATTGTGTATTTGTAATATTTTTTGTCCTACTTGGTCAAGTAATGAAACTCTCACAGTCATTGCCAAGTAGCACACAAGTTGTGGGCTTTTGTGTAGAACATGGATTTGACTCAAGGGTTGGAGATATGCAAATCTACTTGAGTTCAGATTCATAATTTCCATAACTGCTTAATGTTTCCAGACCGACTCTTAATAACCTAAGGGGTCAGAGGAGTTTGAATAGGATGTTCGTGTATCCAATAAATAATACACACTCTTAGATTATGTAATTTTTCTATATGTTTAAAAGTGGTACAGGAAAGAAACTTACTCCTTTGTTCCTAAAATATTTGTTTCTTGGCAGCACTTGTCTGGATGTATAGCAGATGTACTAAATATAACCTGCCTATGATTTAATGCAGCACACATGTAGAAAATGAAAATAACATTAATACAAGTTGTTATTTTAATATGGACCTTTGGGCAAAAGGAAGCACTATTCTGGTCTGGACTATTTATGCTGTGATATAAATAGAATGTTTGAGTTTCCAGGACTGTCAGTCTGGCAAAGTTCATTTGACCTCAATTTGTGATGCAAGACTCCTGAAAATAATGGCCTCACTAACATTTATTCTGTATTTCTGTTAATAGGAGGAATGCTTTTTGAATTTAGAAGCTCCTATTTCAAGAGTATGTGGCTATGACACTCCTTTCCCTCACATCTTTGAACCTTTCTACATCCCGGACAAATGGAAATGCTATGATGCTCTTCGAAAAATGATTAACTACTGAGCAGTAGTACAGGTGAGAAGTAATGTCTTATACTGACAGTTTGCCTGTAAGGATTCTGACAGAGTGATTTTAAGGTTTGGGGCTAAAGTATGACTCTTTTTAGTTATTTATTTATAACAAGAATTGTCTCTTACGGCTTTGGGCCTTCAGTCTTAAAAGCATCTGAATATTTTTAAGTAGTGCCATTGAAGTCAGTGTTTAAAATTAATTACCTTGCTTAAACAATCTGAAATTAAATGTCTTGTGTCCTGAGAGGTGAAAAGAACGTAAAGTGAAAGGCAAAAGGAATAGTAATGCCCAGAATGTATTTTCACCTATATTAGAAGACTTATAACTGTTTCATAGGCAAACCGTCGTGTTAAATTTTATGATTTTTCACTATTCAGGGTTGCCTGTAATCCTGTGAGGTACTAATAAGGCCCAATTTACACTGAATATAGGTGCTGCATTGCAAGCATACACAGACCATTGAAAATACATGAAGTATCTGTGGTATCTTAGTTCTGTTCAAATACAATTACAAGGCTTATATTTAATATTTATTCTAAAAATAAATTTTTATTTAGTTTGGTCATGCTTGAAGATTTCTGTTTGCAGAGCCCTTCAGGCACCAAGTCTGTGAAGTAATATCTCTTTCTATTACATGTCTATTAATCACTGTCTGTAACATCTTTTGTCTTTGTTTCATTGTAATATAATAGTAAATAGCATTAGATTGTGCAGCGGCCAACCAGGACTTAGTATGGTGCGTTGCTGTGGGAGAACGTCTGGTGTTTAATGACCAAAGTTTAATAGGAAATCTGTCAATGTGTTGTATTCTCTACTTCCTTTAATTAAGTGAATCAAGAAGCCTAGTTCTTGAGATTGAGTCTTGATGGGTCTTGTACGTTTGAACTAAAAAGAAAAGAAGAAAACAAGTGGCCCGTTTTACTGTGGAAGAAGGAGATCCTGTGGTAGGCAGTCAAGGACTTCTAGCTGTGGACACAAAAAGCCGGGAGGGCCAAGGTGGGCCCTATATTAGGGGCGCCCTCTTGTGTCCATTTTACCTATACGTTAAGCTGTGAATTAATTTAAGGCCAGGGATAGAAGGTATTCGATACCTTAATGTTAATCTCGTTTGTATGCATACTTAGTGTCAGGACGACTTTTTGCATTTCACTCTCTTTGTTTCCCTCAGTAGCTGATAGTGGAGCTCCCGTATGTGAAATGGGAACTCTACCAGTCAGGCAGTGTCTCTGAAAAACAGTGTAGTTCCACTTACAATGTTTCTCCAACATCACCCGTTATTCACATACCAGAGAATTTCCTTAGGCTTAAAACTGAAGAATATTCTGATCTGTTTTGCACAGCATGTGGTAAATGCTGTCTCTTTCACGACAGTTGTCCTTGCCTTTTATCTGAGTTGAACTAAACTTATTAAAGCCTTATGTTCTTTTTTGTTTGGCATGTCTGTGATACAGTCAGTGAAGCTCTCCTAAAGAGAATGGGATGTCTCAGCTCTTTCAGGCGAGTTATTGGGCCATGCTAGGTAACTTCTAATCTGTTCCTTTCCAAAGGAACCAAAGGACCAAATAATCTTACCCATGTGTAAGTAGAGGGGGACAAACCATGGGCATTTGGTGGTTCAGAGACTTAGTTTAAGCCCCATTCCTCCACAGGGAGGTATGAGGAGAAAGAAGTGGATTCTGAGTTAGCAGTGAATTTGGGCACAATCCAGTTTCCACAGTGGAAGCCCACACTAAACCTATCTTGCAAGGTAATATGGACTAAAACTTGGAAGAGTTATCTGCATTCATATTTAGATTTCTCCAGTGGGCTGCACTGCACACCAATATCAGAGGAGGTTATTGGCCAGCTGAAAAAGTGGATTTAGTGTATCTAGGAGCTGGTTTATTAGGGGCTATATGGAAAACAGTGTAAAGACACAAAAAAAAAGCTTTCTGGTTTGTCTAAGAAAACATCCTGATGGTATGGCCCGTAACATCACGTCATTTGATTGGTGTGACTAGATATTAGTGTTACAGAATGAACTGCTCAAAGGTTTTTCTAAGAAAGAACCTTAATGTGCCTTCTATGTAAGGCACATTTCAGGGAGTATTGCTGTATTTTTCTGTGTGCTGCACTAGGTAATTTGTCTTATGTGCTTGACACTGCAGTTACAGTAGATCTCCATCCTGCTATCTACTATACGGAGTTTGCATGTAAGGTAGTGCGCTTATGTTTCTGAGAAATGGAAGGATTGCTTTAAATTGCTTCTTTTCACGCTGAGTGTAACATTTATTAGTGGTGTTACTTGCCATCAGTCCGGACTGATGAAATTAATGTGTTCCAAACCACTTCACATGTAGGGAGACAGGGATATCTTTTCTAAGAAACAGTGTTAGAGTTTGTGTGGATTTAAGCACAGACATAGTCTTCTGGATGTTAAAAAAGCAGGGTGCCTTCCTGTCCTGCTGCTGGAGAGACAGAGGAGCTACCAGTTCCTCATGGGAAGAGGGATGTAGGGTTGGCTTTTGAGTTGCAGAAATGGCCAAGCTGGCTAAGTTGTTGACCTCTCGAGTAATTTCTATTAGATACAGCCTGGTGGCATGGCTTTCCCCCTCTTATCAACAATTAACTATAAATTGATTCATCTATTGCTTTCAGGCAGGCTGCAGGGGAAAAAAAGTGGTAATTGTCAAATATACCAATATCAGATTGTTCTTTCTAACATGGCCTGAAATCTCTGTAGTTTGAATGAGAAGCTACTGCAACTTCATTTCATGAATCATAGAATCAAAGAATGGTTTACATTGGAAGGGACCTTGAAGATCATCCATTTCCAACCCCCCTGCCACAGGCAGGAACACCTCCCACTAGACCAGATTGCTCAAAGCCCCATCCAGCCTGGCCTTGAACACCTCCAGGGAAGGAGCTTCCACAACTTCCCTGGACAATCTATCTGTTTCAGTGCCTTACCACTCTCGGCATGAAAAATTTCTTGCTAATATCTAATCTAAATCTCCCCTCTTCCAGTTTAAAAGTCATTCGTCCTCGTCCTATCACTACATACCCTTGTAAAAAGTTGCTCCCCAGCTTTCCTGTAGATCTGCAGCGATAGGATTCCCTCCCCTTGTTACTGGATAACACCAAATTGTATAATGTTTTGTGGTCTACCACTGTTTGAAAGTCCTCCTCAGACCTGGAAACGGGTTCTATATTACAGCATGGGGATGCTAACTCATCAAATTTATTTTTACCAGTTACAGTATGCTTTTCTTTAAGTTTTTGGTGTGTCAAAAACTTTCTATCCTTATTCAGACAAGTAAGTATTTCTCACTTAACAAAGAATAAATCTGCATCTTCTTCCTTAAAAAGCAAACAAAGAAGACCCTCCCTGAAATATGTTTGGCTGTGTGTACAAATGTACCTCACACCCAGAAAGGTTCCTCAGGCGCCTGAATTAACTTACTACTTTGTGTCTGAGGCTAATACAGGGTCTCAAGCTGGATGCTACAGTCAATCATTTCTAAACTTAGCCTTATTATCTAAATGTACATTTGGTTTTATTCAGCCTTTGTTGACAGTGTGTCACACATGCATAGTTGCTTATCTTGAGATCGACAGTACAGGCGGTTTTCCTGCTCAAAGGCAGCGTTTGACGGTGAATATTGTATACCTCACCAATGAGACAGGCAAGAGCTAAATCTGTATCTTTCAGCAGCTTCTTAGTTATAAAAATTTATAGCTATGTTAGCTATAAGAGAAATAGCTTCCAGGTAGGCAGCTGTGTTCCAGATAACTCTTTGTAGTTGGAAAAAAGATAAAGAGAAAAGAAGCAGTGAGATTAGGATGGATATGAGTTTCCTGGATAGATGGAACGGTGTCTGGCTGTTCATTTGGGGGAAAGGCCGGGGGGGAAGATAAAAGAAGAAACAGAAGATAACAGCCACAAATTTTATAAAACATAATATAAAATAAAATATTGAGAGGTGGCTGTAGCATAGAAATGGCAAATAGCCAAATGCTCTTCTGTTATCTTTTTCAGATTCTTCTACCACATTTGCATATTCTGTTTACTTGTCAAATTCTGAATTTTAAAGCTGTCCCTGCTAGGTGACAGTTTACCTCCACGAGAGTGTGTGTGTGTATGTAGAGACACCATTACTATTACAAATTTAGTCTCTAAAAATACAAAGTTATCACACTGAACTTCATTATGGAACTATTTTGTGGAAAGTTTAATCTTGGTGCTTAAAGGTCAGGTGGTGATGGGGGGTTGATTTAAATTTGTTTTTCTTTCCAAGCATGTATTTGAAGTTGTATTTCAACATCCAATACAGTTTGCTCAGAACCAATGCTCCAGTTGGGAGAGACTTGCAAATGACATCAATGCTTTCCCTTTCTCAACCAGTAATTTGTGCTGGGTGACAGGAGGGGACCTGGTAGATACTTTGGTTAGTAATTGTCTGTTCTTTGCACTCCTGGATATTAGGCAGGACTTCATACAGATTAACTTGAGGAACAAGAAAAATACAATTCCTCTCCGTGTTTGGTAAATAAAATACGAGAGACCGTGCAAGATCATTTCTTTTTAACCCGAGACTAACAACCAGGTTTTTTTCAATGCAGAATCCCAAATGTGGGATGCCTAGACTGCCTGCCTTTTATAATGCGCTGTCTGTAACCCACTAGAATAAACAACCTCCAGAGGCTTGAGTAGGACGCAACATTCCTGGTTTATAATGTTTTCCTGCTGGATGGCAAAAATCATGCAAATGGCCAGTGAATCATGGCTTATTCACAACCAGTGAGTAGTCCAAATATGAGATAACAGTCTACTAGTGCTATGAGTCTGTTAGTATGGCTGTTGCAAGTCTGTACATGAATTTAAACGTTGCTGAGGATTCATGCAAGATCAGGAATAACTAAATTATCTTAAAAAAACCCCGATAATTAGGAAAGGTATTGACTACAGCTTTTTTTTTTTTTTTTTGCATAAATGGTGGTAATTAGTGTCATCTTGACACTAGATATCAGTTGCAGCATTTCTAATTTCTGCACGTCGAACTTGGCAGCTTAAAAAAATGTAATATAGTTTTTAATACATAAAAAGTATTTTATTACAGTTCACGCACTTTGAGGTTACGACAACGTTATAAATTAAATGAAGATTACTGTGAAGGAGACTGTGTGTTTAAGTTGTGGGTATTACTTTCAGCCTTACGATTCGTAATTTATTTTGTCATCTTCTTCTGCAGAGATGAGAAGAGCAAAAGGGAAACGCAGAAGCCACCTTCAAAACTCTTGACACTTTACTCAGTCTTTTGGGTTTGGAATTCACATAGCAGACTGTTTTCTCTGAACTCAACTGTCCTTAATATTCATCTTGGCTATTCTTCAGAAGGTTCAAATCTTCCTTAATTATGAAATCAGTGATGGGCAGGTGATTGCTATAATAAGTAGTTTCAGATGTATTTAAAGATATTCCAGATGTCGTATGAATGTTACACATTGCCATGCTTCACTAGGTTACATCTCTAAACTTCACTGTGTAAATATTAGAAGCAGGATTTTATTCAATAAAACATATTATGCACATGTTGTCTCTTGGTTTTGTTGTTGTTTTGGGAAAACTCAAAGAAGTTATTTGAATGTGACTCTGTTTTCAACAAAATAAACCTTAGGCAGCCAGACCAGCTTGTGCATCTGGTCTGACTGAAACCTCCTTTAACCAGTGTCATTAGCTGTCTTTCAGTTGAGTGACTTCATGTAAAACAGTCCCAAATACTTCCCTTTCTACAAGGGAAATGAAAACGCCATTTTTCTTGAGAAGGGAGGAGAGATTTTTTTGCTTTGTTGCCATAGGTGAGAGGCTCCATTGGTACATCTTCCCTGCGATATCTTTGTTTAGTTATTTTTCCTCTAGATATTGAATGTGTCTGTTGCTAAGCAGTTGTGCAAAATGTGCCAATTTGTTGAGAAAAGGTAACAGTACCCTGACATATTCATGCCAGTGGTGGGAGAAGAGGCAGCGCACATACCATTTTCTGTTGGCGAGGACACGGAAATACAAAATTACCAATAAAATTAAACCTGAATGTTTGTTTTTCCTGTGCCAATATAAAAGGCGCTGAACATCCCAAAGTGCAAAAAGGAGTCCAGCCTTTCAGACTGAGAGCTTCTGAGCTCAGTGGAGGGTTGCTTTATTTTTAATAATGCCCTTCTTTTCCATGTGACAAGCCAAGGACACAGCAAAGATGCTGTAAAAACTATCCTCTCTTGTCCTACATTCCAGGACTGCTCAAAGGGCAGCAGATCTTCTTCCAGCACAGTAGTTTCAAAGCTTCTTACTGAATTTCTCTGGTACCAGCTCTGCTCATTTTTCCACCACCTAAATTAAGTGTGAATTCAGCAGTTCCTAGTCTTTTTGGTTACTTTGCTCTCTGTACAAATCAATCTCATGCTGCGTTGCTTCTTATTTTATGGGGGAAGGAGGGGAGGGGATAGGAAGATGTGTGCCAGTAGCCAGATAACCACATTTCCCTTATTATTCAGGGGGACCTTTCAGGGAGAAAGAATACCTTTGTACACAAACCTGCTCAGAGCAGTCCTCAAGGTGACAACTGAAAGACCCCAGGGAGGAAGCTCGGGAGGATAACTTCACTCTGAATGTTAGTGGATATGGCCCTGCCATGTCCCCCACCCATTCTGATGATCTGGGGGGTTGTTAATTGGGCAGATCCACTGCAATCCAAGGGAAACCTGGCTTTGGGGACAACACCCTTAATTACGGGCGCCAAAGTGCACGCACCCGCATCTCAAAGCGGTGTGCTTCTCAGGGCTCATACCCAACCCTCATCTCATTCTCCCAAACCTCAGGAGCAACCTTTGTAGCGTTGTTCATTGTTTGTAATGTGGGGCGATGCTCGCCCTCCAGCAGAACTCAACTCAAAAAGCCACGCTTAAAGGACTTGCAGAGATAAAAGGTGCTAAATGATAATCTTTTTAGGTCCTACTACCATTTTCTTTATGATCCTGTATCGATAGTTCACACATTCTCTACAGAATCCCACAACTGGAAATTGAGCTATTTTTTAATGTTTCTAATCAAAATGAAATTGTTAATCAAGTCTTCTGCCTGTAAGTCTCCTGTAAATGCCGTGTATAGAATTTGTTTGTTGTTTTAAATAAGATAGATGCATTATGTATTTTATATTTTTTTTGTGCTGGATGGAATCTATTTTGGTTTTATGAAGAAAAATGGTTTTAAAAATTATTTCTGTCTTTGTAGAAAATCAATAGATATTTTAGTAACTTCTTAAAATGTACTGTTACTATATTTCAAAGCATATAAAATAGATGCAATTATACTACTGCCATAGTAAAATGTGCTTTGGTAATTAATAGCCTTAATACTATATAGTTTGTATTTGCAGTTTTCATAGATGAAAGCATTTTGTCATTTAGCACAGAGCTTAAAAGTTCAAGTTGTGTGTATGGAAATATAGAATAATATATTTCTTAATAAACGTATAGAAAATATTTGCTTCTAACTTGGATGTCCTGGTGGACTACTACAATCCCGTTAAGAGGCAGGTTTTGTATTTTCAGTAAGTGGTGATGTGTCATTTTGTAATAGTACAAAAAATGTTCTTTTCTCCTCTGTTTTGGATAACAGAATATTTTTCTCTGGCAAAGGCAATTAATGTTCTAAAATAGGTGCTGCTCCCAAAAGCCTGCCTAGATGGCAGTATCCACTCACGTAACCTGTGCCCAAGGATGGCGGCTGTTTAAAAGTGCTTGTTCTGGAAAAATGACATATAGCTCTAAATTGGACAGGAAGGTGTATGCTGTTACATACAAATAACTGTGTCTCATTAAACTCCTTACTAATAAAATCCAAAGACAAGTCATATTTTCTGGTTTTTAACCACTTGGATCTCTTAATTAGATTAATTAGATTATGCAAAAAATGTGTAGAGGAATATTATCAGATTTAACGCGGGCAGTGCTTGTTTCACTCTAAGTAACTCCTTCTGAAGCAAAAATCATGTCAGTGCTCCTTGCTGATAGTCCAGAAAATTAGTAATCTATCTAGTCATGTTCATTTAACACTAATTGCTGGAAATACTTCTGGTACATAGTTTAATGCTGGATCCTGAGGTTGGAATTCAAGAAAGACATACACAGCCTTCATGGGATCCAAGATTTATTAACTGCAGATGAAAGACTTGCATACTCTTCTTCTGTCATCCAGCTCATTTAAGACTGTAGTGCCATAACAACCTCGCTGTAATAAACAGTGCACCAATTAATAAAAATTGGATTTAAATCATTAGAGGTATTCTCCCTCGTGGAAGTGCACGTGTTTCTAAGAGGCTTAGCCAGTAGTACGTTCTCACTGCAGTAGCCAGGAGCCTTGACACAATGACCTTCCGCTCCTACGGTCTGATAATCAATTCTGAGCTCATGAATCTTTTCAGACAGGCCTCTTGCTCCCATAGCTAAAAAGCGGTGGTCCCGGTGCCCTGGTATATGGCAGAAGCTCCGTTCTAGCCACATAACTTCAGAGGCAGCGACTGAAAGGAATCCATTCAGCAAGCTGGCAGAGATTGTTATCAGAGCAGCTCATGGGGTTCAGTGAGCATTATATGTTCATAACAAAATAAGCTGACACAGTCTGTAAGCTCTGCCAGATTTCAGTAGACCCGAAATAAGGGTGCAATTCTTTTGTAGCTCTTTTGCTGCTTAGCTGCTCTGCAAGATATGTGTTTGGTAGATATGGGAGATGTACATCTGACTTCAGTATAAACAAGATCTTTAGAACTTAATTCGGTTGCTTATGCTTTGGCATTGAGTACCATTCGAGACACCCTGGGGTATCCTGCGTGGTCTCCACAGCTCCAGCTCCTGCTTCCATAGGTCCTATGTGATATCTGCCAGCCCTGTGTGTATCTTGGGTGCCTCAGGGCATCTCAAATGGCACTAGGTGCCTGTGTTCAGGCATCTAAATGGAGCCCTTTGTTTTCTGGGGCTTGGATAGCTGATGTCTGACTATTTTTCTGTGAGCTTGCATAAAATGCTAGCACTGAGATTGGTGCGTGCCTCAATTTTCAAAATAAATTGCTCAAATCCCCAGTAAGTACATAAGGTGGGATACATTGACATGTGTGCGTGAAAGAAAGGATTGTCTCCTGGGTGACGGGCTGATGCTGAACTGGGCAGTTAGTTCCTTGAGGTGAATAATTTAGAGCAAAACCCCAGCCTTATAGATGTCCCCTGGCTGGAGTTGGTTGCTGCAGCTCACAAGGGTTCTGATAAATATCTGATGATACTGTGTGGGCAGGTTCTGGTTCAAGTTCAGCAAAGCCATGAGCGACAGTGGTGAGTTGATGGGAGATGAGGGAGATGATACTTCCTGTGCGATCTGTGTGTGGGATTCAGTTTGAGATTAAGCTTCCTAAATTTAAGTGCCGAGGTATAGGTGTGTAGGGCTGAGCAGAGCAGTTGAGCTAGCTAGTAAGTGCCTTTAGGGTAAACTGACTCATTTTGTAGGCTGAACTGACCCTACTGGCTGCCTCAGTTAAGTTGTCCATGCATAGTGCCAGATGAGATGCCGTAAGGTATCCTGCCTGGCCTTCAGCTGCTCGTCTAGAAGGGTTCAGATCTCCCATCACTCCTCAGTCATACCCGCTAGCTCAGGGATAACTTGCATGCCCTAAATCACCGCAGGCATCATTGCTAGATGCTTGTGTGGGCAACAGGATGTGATTCTCCGGTGGCAGTGGCTATCATGGCATCACAGCCCAAATGTGGATTTTAGTTGCTTAACTTCAGATGAAATTGTCCATTCCGTGCTTTTGACAGAAGGGATAGCGGAGGAGCAGCACGTGATTGTGGATGCTGGGACCATCCACTAACTGGTGCAAGAAGCAGGGAGAAGACAGCCTGTCCCTCAGTCCAACTGCCAGAAGCAGCGGTGGCCTCTCAGCCTCAGCCCTCTAGCAGAAAGCGCCGAGTCTCGTCATTAAGAATACTGATTAATTTGATCATTAGCCTAATTTTATATTACAAGTGCAACACTGAATCAACCCCAGCTTTGGGTTTATGTTACTTGCTTTGAAATTGTTTTGTGGTCTTTGGTTGTATTTTTAAACCTTATTTTTGTCTGTCTTGGAGGAAAATAAATAAGGCAAAATAATTGTATTGCATTATGAGTAGAAACTGGTGTCTGTTCTTGCTCATGTAGGTCTGCGGATAAGTATTCTACAACTGACAGTAATGTGCCACCAGTGCTTCAGAAGGACTCCCTGTTGATTCCTGGGTGTAATTAATTACTTTTATATGATAATTCAATCATTCCTGTTTGCTTGCACTCCGTTTGCTTGCAGCTGAGTACTTGCTGAAAACAGAAATTGCCTGAATTTATGGCGCCCGTGGTTGCACCCTTCTCGCAGCGTTTGTGAGTTCTGCCGTGCCTGAGGCCTGAGCCGCTGCTGGTTCCAGTTCCACGCAGCCTCGGGCAGTTTTGAGCTCAGTGACGGGGGCTGCAGGCAGATGGTTTCTTTTCAGTCTTTCCACCGTAGCCCTTGC